GAATAGAATGAGGGGGAGGAGGGAAAAGGAGGGAAGGAAAATAGAAAGAAGAAAGGGAAGAAAGAAAAGAAACAAGTAAAGAAATGAGAAAATGGAGAGAAAAATACACATGTACATGGTGATAGGAAATGTTTCCTGTTTTTCTATCACTTTTCCTTATAATTGTGTGTGCCACTGCTTAGGTACAGTTTTCATGGATTAGTAAAGTGTACGAATCAAGTTAGCAAATTAATAAGTTAACTACAATGAAGCAGCTAAAAGTAAGAAAAGCAAAAAACATGCAGTACATGTACATGTATCATTAACTGAAAATGACTATAAATACACATGTACATGTACATGTATCAATTAATGGACAATGTTATGAAGACAAATTGAGGTAATACTGTCCATGCAGTATAGCTAATAGAAGGAGCACATGAAATAAAAGCTGAGATCCCTCCCTCTCTCTCTCTCTGATGTCCTTATGAGCCAAAAAGCAAAACTAAAATGATTTTTGTCAATTCATAAAATTTAATACTCGACAGATAAGTACATGTATGCATGGAGAGAGATATACATGTACATATGGTAGAGAGTGGATACAATATTTACCTTGCAAATATTTTAGATAGTTTATCCAGTTCAATCACATTATTAGGTAGACATGTTAACTCATTGTACTGGACCTATAATAACAATAACACACAACATGTAAACATAATTATCAGTCTTTATACAAAAATAAACAACAAACTAAACTATAAACAAATCTACAACATTCAAGGGAGTTGTCTCAAAGCATGCAGTATACCATGCTATTACAATTTAATTCATACATACATGTACACTAAACATGTATTATAATGACATTAAAAATCTTATATTTTCATTCTCACCTCAAGCGCTGACAATCAATTAAAGTTTTCAATATCTTCAGATATTTCTTTGATTTCGTTAGATGATAGATCCAGTCTAGTCAGTTCCACCTGGTCCCACCATCTCTCATCAACATAAAATGAAGCAGTATTACCATCAGGAGGATCAATATTGAGTCTCCACAGTTTAGGAGGAATAACACTAATGCCCCTGTAATTATACACATTCACCCACTAACTTTCATACATCCACGTTCATTAATGCGTTATAAAAATGAAAATCAAAAAATCATACAGGCCATTTTTGGTGAATTAAAAAACATGTTACAAGTCTCACACAGCCTCCTACCTGTTTGACAGGTTCAGTGAACCGGTTTTACGATCTTGTTGCTGGTTTCAATAAGGATTCTGGTACAGTCCCCTCCTTACCTACCCCATCACTTTGACTAGGAGAATTGAAGAAGTTGGCATTTGGTTTGAGTCTAGTAGAACTAGCAGGAGATTTTCTACTGGCACCACGACTGGAACTCATTTTTATGAATTTTGGATAAATGGGTGTGGTCTTATGCTGCATAGTTTGGGCATAGATATTAGAGTAAAATGAAAGGGATAGGAAACTTCCGTTGCGTGGGCGGATTATTTCATTAAGATTATTAGGTTGCCTAGCAACATAGGCAAGTTACCCTTCCCGGGCCTTTTCCTTCACTGTTCGGCGTCCTATTTCAACTCATAACTCTAAAGTGACTTGTGTTTATCCTCTGCAATGATAGTTAAAGGCATTACAGATACCTCCCTTACAGTCTGTTTAATTTTTGAAGTAAAATAATATTGATAACTATGAGTAAATTTTGATTTATTGACTTGATACCTTCAATATTGTGGTTTTGTACCCTTTTTTAGAATACAAAAGAAGTAATACCAGAATTAACTATTACCAACTATTCTATACATTATTATGGAGGGCACGCAACATAAATGACTCCGATGACAGATTTGGTGACTGATTTATAATCAATTCAAAGTTTTTGCAAAGACCTTCGTTTTGTACCTTTTTCTTTACAGTTCAATGATTGGCACATTTAAATGTGATATGAAAGCAAAGCTTGATGTATACTTGAGGGCACGCACATACTTTACTGTATGTGACATAAACACAATTTGAGAAAAACCATTATGAAGTTGTAGTATTCCATAATGTTTGATAATTTTCTTAATAAATCCTATTGTAAAATTGAAAAAATTCCTATAAATAGAGAAATTATCATGGTATGGGTAACTAGCATTTCCTGCCGCGAACGGAAGTTTCCAATCCCTTTCATTTACTCTAATATCTATGGTTTGGGCATAGATATTATAGACTACGTAACCGGGATTGGAAACTAGGTCACGTGATCCATTCAAACCAGTACAAACCGGCTGACACAGGGTCCGTGATTGAATTTTGGTGGGTGTGGTCAAAAAATGGCTACTCATCGACGACATTCAAAGGAAGACTGTATTTAAACCAATGTTGATTTTTTGTTATTTTAATAATATTTCAATACTTTAGTGTTTGTGTAACATGATTATAATGAAAAAAATAATGATACCATTGTTATTTTGCAAATATACTGTGATATTGTTCAAATTTCTGTTACTTGCAAATTTTAAAAACTTTTTGTACCTGTTGCTCCATTACACGGGTAAAAATAGACTAACAAGATCATTGGAAATGTTTCCACAATCATTGTGCATGGAACTGTCATAGTTTCATTTACTGATTTGCTATGTGAGAGTAGTAATATCTGAAATACTGTTTCTGCGAACAGTCCACTGTCGTACCTGTTACAGCTTTTACAAAACAAGCAGAGGTTTCTCCTTTTGGGTGATGATAGGGTGATATTGTGTGCATGGAATTGGGGGGTTAGCATTTTAATTCATGCATTGTATTTGACTACAGTACTGCTTTAAAACCAAAAATTCATTATTTCCGCATGAAAAGCAAGCCACATGGTCAAATTTATTCTATTTAACGCCCAATTCAATCACGGACGTTGTCCACCAGGGAATCCTAGTTTCCAATCCCGGTTACGTAGTCTATAATATCTATGGTTTGGGTGGGGCTGGTATTTTGGAAGAATGGCATCTAAAAGTGAGGGCCACTATTCTCTTCTCTTTGTATCTCTTTCATTCATTCTTTGTCTCTCTTACTCTCTCACTTACTTTACTCCTCTGTATCCTGTCCTTATTATAACTCATCACTATATTACTGTTACTCTGTTACTGGTACCTCTTGTTCTCTATAGACTATCAACCAGTGGAGAGATATGCCCACTCCACAGTAAAGGTAGGAGACTACCTATATATGTGGGGTGGGGTCGGGTCTAGAGTAGACTATGATGTGATGGAGTTGTATCACTTACCAACTGGTGCTTGGGACCAGAAACCTACTACTGGTACCCCACCACCAGGTACCTGGGCCTATTCAACTTTTGCAATTGGGAAGGACATATATTATTTTGGTGGATATGGTGGTGGTTATGAAAACAGCTTACATTGTTTCAATGTGGATTCATTCAAGTGGAGGGAACTCTCTCCTTCTAGTTCAGATCATGGTCCAATCAAGAAGGCCTACTGTGGAATGGTCTCAGCTCATTTTGATGGTGACGACTATCTTATAATTATTGGAGGCTGTGGATCATCTTCTATCATTAATCCTCCAAAGCAACCTGATGCTCAGTATTCAGCTCATGGCAAATGTAATGAGATACATTATTACAGGATTTCATCAGGTCAGTAATTCTCATCATTGATACACAATAGTTGATGAGTATTTCAAACTGAATAATTTATATTAATGTACATAAAACAGATTGTTAATAATTAAGTGTGTTTGTTAGTGTGTCTTTGTGTGTCATGTGTTTGTGTGTGATGGTGACGTGTGTCTATATGTGACGTGTGTGTGTGTGTACTAATACATACATTATGATATGTCTGTGTATGATAGTGCATATAATGTATGTGAGAATTTATGAATGTATGACGTGTGTATGTGACGTGTATTTATAATGTGCATGTTATGTGCGTGTGAGTATTATCATGTACCTGTGTATGTGTGATGTTTGTATATGTACATGTATCTATACATAAGCTAATGTGACATGAGTGTGTGTGTGTGTAGGTTCATGTTACTTATTATCATTTTTTATAAAGTTCTGTATCACATGAGTCACAAATTACCCACATACAATGTTCCATGAGCCAGAATAGATGAGTAATTATGAAATAAAGAGACCCCCTGGACCTCTCCTTCATGTGTACAGGTGTGGTGTGTGTGATGGTGTGTGTATCCATGCATGAGTGTATCTGTGTGTGTGTGTGTGTGTGTGTGTGTGTGTGTGTGTATCCATACATAAGTGTATCTGTGTGTGTGTGTGTATCATGTGATAGTGATGTGTGTCTATGCATGATGTGTATGTATAAATAATAATGTACACACATATACACATACATATGTATGATGAATGCGTATAATGTATGTGTGTGTATGTGGTAAGTAAGTGTACATGAATGTTTGTACATTATTATTAGATCAATGGATATCTCCTGTTGTTATTGGAGACAGACCACCTCCTATTGATGAATTCACTCTGACACCAGTTACTAATAACACTGCAGTAATGTTCGGAGGCTATACTGATAATGAAATCAGTAATAAACTGTATATGATAAGTTTTACTAAGACATCAGTGGTGAGTTAATACTGTAGAATGGGTTTTGATTCTGAGATTCCTTTAATTGCAAATTATTTATTATTCTTTCAGAATATATTAGAAGTACCTAATCCTGGAGGATCAGTACAATGGCCTGAGGGAAGAGGTGCTCATTCCAGTGTACTGATTACCACTAGTTCAGGACCACACTTACTAGTGGTGGGTGGATCACCTGCCTATGATGTGTGGTTACTGGACATTAACAAAAGAAAATGGAAAGAACTGGTAAGTATTATATTATGATGCTTGATAATGAAACATAAAGTGATTAACTAAATTTGTAACTCATGAGGTTTGTAATGTACATGTACATATTATGATACTCAGTGAAAACTACTGATGAATAATGCTGGTATTCAGTATATGTGTGTGTGTCTGTTTTTAGTGTGAATGTGTGTTTGTGTGTTTTTGTGTTTTGTGTTTGTTTCTTTACCTAAATATGTGTGAATATACATGTGTCTGTTTGTGTGTGTGTAAAGATGGATTCACAATTGATAGAGTGTCAATGCTGGAATTAAAATAAATTGTATTTATATACATTGTGTACATTGTGTATGTACATACATGTATTTGTGTGTATGTGTGCATATGTTTTAATATGTGTATGTGTGTACTAACACGTACATCATGTGTACATGTAACATGTACATGTGTGTGTATGTGTGTGAGCAATTATGCATGCTTTACATGTAGCTTTATATGTGTATGCATGTATAGATGTACATGTATGTGTGTTAGTGTGTCATTAGTATGTGTATGTGTATGTGTGTACATGCAGACACTTAGTAAGTTCTTAATTGAGGACTCACATGATATAATAACACACTCAGTTGTGTATACTTGTCTATTAATATATTGTGTATTATTAATTTTATTATGTGATCTTTGTGTTACATAAAACACACTGTGCAGACTATAAAACTGTGAGTTAGTTATTGTGTTTATTAACCAGATATCAAATCAATTAATATGTCGTATACAAATAAATTATTATCATTTTAATTTTATAGATTAATCTACCAGTCAATGTCACTAACAGACACTGGCATTCTCTCTCAGTGTGGAGTGTGACCCCAACTACTAACTGGATAATTGAGTTTGGAGGATTTACAGAATACTCTGATACAGCAGTTATTGAACTCAGTAAGTACATGTAGACAGTAGTAGATACAATGTGTATTGAATATGTAATGATAATTAGTAATGATAATATTACAATAAAGTAAGTAATTCTTATTATGAATATTTAATGAGAGCATTTGACGTATACCTATGATACTAATTATTACCAATTCATTCCTGCTATGTACAATAGTGAAATATAATGACTGCAGATACAGAAACACTGATATTAATAGGAGCTAGAGTGAATGAAATATTATTATCAGTGTATTTATATACAATAATATGTTCATGTGGTTAACTGTGTAAACTGACAGAGGTGACACATACAATGATTAAACATGAATCCATCAATAATAATGTTACCATAGTAACTAAGTGTAATTAATTTGTGTAGTTCTTATTGTCCACTATTTTGTTACTGTATAGGATATGCTAGTGATAATGATTGGTCTACTAGTGTAATACCTCTGGACCAGTATCAAGATCAACTAAGAAGAAGGATACTGAGTGATTGGGAGAGAGAGAGAAAATTCTATGAGGAACAGCTTCAAAGAGAAATAAAAGAGAAAGAGCAGATACAGCAAGATCGAGACAAAGAGCAGCAACAGGTTCTTCAAGAAAAGGCAACACTTAGTCAGCAACTTGATGATGCTACCACTCTCCTTGAGCAAGCAGAAAAGGATAAATCAACTGTTGAATTAGGTACTATTGTGTTGTACTGTTGTTTATGTGTACATTGTTTACATTATTAGTAACGCGGTAGCGTTACTAAGTAGGATTCACCCCCAAACAAAATGGCTGCCACGACTTTTGCAGCCTTGCTATACCGGGAAAACGAGCTCCTATGCTTACCAGACTTCTTAGAGGACCTTATCTTGACCAGAGGACTCCATTGGTACAACTAGCGTGGCTCTAGACCTTGTCTAAGCGAAAAGTCAAAAATCGGCGAACAGGCCGTTTTGTTCAGCCACCTTTTTTCATCTTCATCATCATCATCAAGAAAGTCCTGGCAATTCAGTTGGCGACCTGTATCTCAACATTGACTGATACTACAAGAATAATTCTTGCACCATCCTACTCCAAATAGTTATGCGCGGATCCATGTCCCATCAGATCATTCTCCAACAAAGGAAGAAATCGTCCTATGGCTTGTGGGTTCGATGAAACTACTTGCATGCCGCCATTTTGTTAATATTAATAACATGTGCTTGAAAATGGGTGTGGCTGCGCATGCTCAGATCATTCTCTAATTACTCGTATATAAAAAATTAAAAATGGTTACAGCTCGGGTTACAGTGAAGCAGGTAAGCTTACATTGCATTAGTTATCATTGTATGCTGTCTTATTCTGTACAGAAATACTTCAGGAATATCAAGAGTAGATCATCCAGTCTATTCTTGGTAATATAGAGGCACACTATTCCTATTTGTTCAAGTCCTATTGTTGCAGTCATTATTCTTGTAGTTTGAGTTTCATTACTGATGAATGTTTTCTGTTTCATTATGATAGTCAAATTTCTGTTTCATTGATAATGTAATTCCTCTATTATCTATGGTACAGTACAGTGTTATTGAAACGGGCGTGGCTATAATGGGTGCGGTTTGCGCATGCTCATTTGTGGTACTCCTCGTGAACTGAAGTGTCAGTAAAGAAGAGTCCTGCTCTCAAGAGCTGTTATCTGCTTATCTAACTGTCTTTGCTAAAGTGCTGGTTCATTAAGAAGACTCAAAGATAAGCTTTGATACTACTTATAATATTAATCACTATAGTAATTATTATTACTGAAACTGATTAGCCTTTAACACCTAGTTAATTTTCTTGTACTGTATATATAGTATTACAGCTATTATATAACGAATGCCTAACTTACGAGGCAAAGTGTCTGCTAAGAAGCGCAGGCAACTAAGAAAAGAAAAACGAGATAGGGTAAAAGCAGGGTGTAATGATAATCAAAAGCATGATATCACAGAGCCTGAATTAGTTCTGAATACTACTGGTGGCATCCTTAATGAAGGGTTGTGTGATGATGTTACAGAGCAGGAAGTTGCTTCCAGCTCTGTAGGTGATCATAACCCAGAGTTATGTAATGTCACTGAGTATGTAGTAGCTGATGATGCAGACCTTTTCGTTCTTTCTGATCCCCCAGAATGTAATGATTGGTCTGTGTGGGATCATAACCCGCCAGAGTTGTGTGACAACACACAGTTTGAAGTAGCTACTACTCTTGAAGGTACAACTGTCAGAGAGAGACAGTTAGACAAAAAGAAGGATTGGTCGAGACAAAACTATTATAAAAATCATCAAAAACACCTTGCAAAATCAAAAAAATATCGTGCCAAAAATAAACAAAAAGTAACAGATTATTCTAAAAGATATATGAAAACATATCGTGCCACAAATAAACAAAAAGTGGCAGATTATTCTAAAAAATATCATGCTTCTCATCGTGAAGAGAGAATAAAAGGATTTAAAGATAATTATATTGCTAATCGTGAAGAGAGATTAGAGGCATTTAAAGATAAATATATTGCTAATCGTGAAGAGAGATTAGAAGGTTTTAAGGATAATTATGCTTCTAATTTAGAACAAAGGAAAAAAATTATGAATGACTATTACGCCTCTCACAGTCAGCAAATAAAAGATAATGCTAGAGAGCATTATGCTGCTGTGGCTAACACAAAAAATGCCAAGCTAAGACAAAACTATAGAATAAAGCGTAACTTAAATCCACCAACAAGAAGTGTATCAGCTAAGAAAAGATCTAAAATCATAGCAAGAATATTGCAAAAGAGGCAGAAGAACAGTGCATATTATAAGAAAAATTTTCTAAAATTAAGACAAAACAGAAGAGCTAGATACAATCTAGCCGAACCAAAAATTGATCTAAAGAACAGATACATAGCAATAATTAGACAAAAACTTGCTAAAAATATAGGAGTACAAAAGCAATTGAAAGTTGCTTTTGATATTGACAAGTCTTTGCCGATTGCTGTCATGCAGTCGGGTATTAATTTAATTGCAGCTA